GAACAACAACTGAACTTCATTTAACATATAATGATATTTATAATAAAATAGTTGATGAATATAAAATATCACTTGAAAAATTCTTTGTTAAGGCTATTTAATATTCAAGCATTAACATTATCGAATAATAATCCTTTGAATCATAATCAATAATAATTGACCTTTCACCAGTTTCTATCGTTTGTTTTATTTCTTTTTGTTCCCCACTATCCGGATCGGTCATTGTAATTGTTTTTGTTATAGTATCAGCTTTATCTTTAACTTCAATCTTTTTTCCATCGGGATATTTAAACCAAAATTCCAAAAATTCGATATTGTCAATCTGTTCATATTTTAATCTATCAATTACATTTTTAATACCATCTGAAAATCTTATGAAATGGTCATTATATGGGTTTGATTGAACTAAATTTGAATGAAGTGAAATATAACCTGTTGATGAATATGACACTGACTCATATTTTCTGAAAACACTAAAATTTATAACATGAATGAATTTCTTATTCGTTGAATTTATGAATTCTTGAGGTAATCTTATTCTAGTTTTATTTATCACTGGAAAATAACGCTTTACCATATTTTTAATCGTAATAAAAAATGTCAATTATCAATATTATTTCGAATAATAACTGTGAATTAAATTTAACAGTTAGCGGAATTTATAATGTTACTCTCGTTTCTGTGAGTGGTAAATTTAATCCCATTCTTTTAGACCCTTCAGATTATATATCATTTATTAAAGATGACCATGAAAAAACGTATGATATGTATATAAATAATGTGATAGCGAAATGGGATATTAACACGATTTTAAGTTATTTAAATGAATCATTTATCGTATGGTATGAAGAAAATTTTAAATCAAAACCGATAAACTTTTTGAACTTGATGAAATAAATAACCTTATTAAATTTCCGCTGAAAATTAAATTTTGTACTCCTCATCTTCGTTCATTGTTGGGGATATTAAATTTTGAAAAAGATGTTGGGGATGTTTTGTATTCTGACACTGGTTCCAATTTCATTTTAATCAAATGTGATAAAGTTAATACCCAATGAGATTTTCACATCAAACATTAGACCCTAACTCTTACCCATCAATACAAAACATTTTATCCATCAACTTAAACATATTTTCTTTATCATATCCGTTTCAATTATCCGGGAATTCATTTATTCTTCATTCAAAAGATTTATCAAATATTAAATTTAGAATAACTGACCTATTTGATTGTGATTTAGAATTTATGAATGAAATATTATGGCAATTTCAAATAGAAAAAATAGCTGATGAGATAACGGATTAAATATTTATTTTTAAATCATAATAAATGATTAAACAACAGCAACCACAACAACTTAAGGCGCAAAGCGCCCAGGTCCTTCAGACCATTACATACGCCATATATGCATATAATTCAAAGACGGCAGAACAAACGCAAAGGTTGAAATATGGAGATTTGGAGATAGTATTGAAAAATGACCATTTCGAATTCGTTTGCAAAGGTGGTGCAGTGATATCAAATATAAAAGAAATTTTATTTATGAATTCTAAAATTAAAGGTATAACGGATGATATAACATCAATTCCACCAGAAGAACAGAGATATTACGCATTAAATGCATTTCCTAAAGTTTTGAAGATTGGAAGATTTAATTTAAATGAGGAATTCATAGAAGGTTTCCTAAATGACATAATGAAGAAGGCGGATAAGGAATATGTGGATAGTGAATTAAATAAGAAGGCAAATTTGGTTTATGTTGATGAAAAAGATAATGAAATTAAAGAAAAGGTTGAATGGTATCATGAATGGACATTTGAGACTTTTAAAGTTAAAGCTGATACAGAATGGGTTTCAGGATGTTTAGACCTTAAAGCAGATAAAACATATGTTAACGATGAGTTAGAGAAGAAGGCGGATAAGGAATGGACATTTGAGACTTTTAAAGTTAAAGCTGATACAGAATGGGTTTCAGGATGTTTAGACCTTAAAGCAGATAAAACTTATGTTAATGATGAGTTAGAGAAGAAGGCAGATAAGGAAAAAGTTATTTCATTCATTAATACTGAGTTAGCAAAGAAAGCTGATATATCATTTGTTAATGAGAAATAAAACAATCAGAGGTCTATTTTACTCCACCATTTTTAAATTTTATGAAATCATCAGATAAAACCTTTGATATAGATTCTTTTGAATGGATATGTTTCGATGGAGTGACCATGTATTTATTTTATACAGCTGGGTGCTTTATTATTTTAAAACAAATGATTTTAAAAACTATGAATCATTTACTCCATCTGTTTGGAATCCTGATACACGAAAGCCAATCATTAATCCAAGAATTTTATATGTTGAATATAATAACGGTAAATTTATGGAATGATAACGGTTGGAGATGATTTTTGCCCTTGTTATTCATTCGATTGTATCCAATGGTTCAAATGTAATTTAAATCAAGATGCTAAATTTAAATATCCAAATAATCCTATTAGATGCGTTAATAATAAATGGGTACTAATTTATGAAGTCAATCAAATTTTCATTAGTGAGGATGGGATAAATTATTATATGTTTAGTATGATGTCATCAGATTTGGAAATTGATTATACAAGTAAGTGGTATTACATTAACAACATGTATTTTATCCTACAAAATGATAAAATTTATAGATCATATTCAATACCACAAGGTCGTTTTGAACAAATTTTTCAAGCCGATGGAGACATTGAAGCTTTATGTTATGGATCAAATGTTTGTGTTCTCGTTTCAGGTGAAATGGTCTATTCATATCCTGTAAGTTATAACAGACATATTTATTTATCACAGGATTTATCAAATTGGGAATTGGTTTATTCATTCACTCCAAAACTTACTCGAAATTATAGATTTACAAATTTATTTTATATTGATGGGTATTTCATTGCTTTAGGATGTGGTGATTTAGTAAACATCAGTAGTGATGGAAGAAACTGGTCTGAAATCACAAAATTTCAAGATGTTAGAAAAGCAATTTTCAAAAATAATACGTTAATATTGATAACAAGACCAGTTTTAAATACTCACCCAAATTCAATATTATATAATAAATTCAATATTCATAATGGATTAAATACAATTCTTGAGATGATTTACCCCATTGATTCTTTATATACGTCAATGAATTCAACAAATCCAGAAACAGTTTTAGGTTTTGGTACTTGGGAACAGATTGTAGACAAATTCTTATACTGTGCTAACTCTTCAAAGCAAACAGGAGGTTCGAAGAAAATTACTGAAGCAAACCTTCCACCGCACACTCATACGGGAACTACAAACACAACAGGTAATCATTCACATTCAATAACAAAAAGAGGTTATAGAAATCTTGCAGCAGGTTCGGATAGACAGGGAATGGATAGATATGATATTTCAAGCGACCCAGTAGATTCAAGCGCAGGTATTTTCTGTGGAACCACAGGAAATCATTCACACACTTTCACAACAAATCCAACAGGCTCGGGTGAAGATTATATGCCACCATTTATGACTGTATTCGCATGGTTTCGCGTTCAATGAACGCTCAATGTTTGTGAAACAAACTTTAGAACGGACTGAAAGTCCTGAGCTCCAAAAGAGCGAACGGCATAATTTAAATTTTTATTTTAGTATAAATGAAGATTCTACCATATGGTGTTATTGGAAGAGATAAAGATGGAAACCCAATATTTGATCCAAAGTTAAAATTAAAGTTACTGACAAGACAACAACTTGAAAAGTTACTGAAACCAAAACAGAATGAGAAAATGAGAAAATAAGAAAATGAGAAAATGAGAAAATGAGAAAGAAAAAAATTTAAATTATGCAATTTTATTTTTATTATAAATGACAAAATTAATTAAGCCAACTATTTCTAAATTAATGATACCAATGAAATCATTTCATGGAGTACTTATCCCAGGTTCTTCACAATTAGCCGGGGCAAGTGTTGTGACTCAAGGTGGAACATTAGCGAATCCATTCAAATTATTAACTAAAGATGAACTTAATAAAATGATGATAAAATAACTGATAACAAAATTTTATTTCACTGTTACCATGTTACCATGTGCTACCATGTTAATTAACTTCTTTTAAAAATGATGACAACATGACATTTTATTATATTTTTGGTCAAAGCTTCCACGAGAGAAAAGATTCCTCATTCGCTAAGGATTCCAAAAATGAAAAAATCATTGATTTCGGCTGAGAAAAAACAGCAAAACCCTTCTTCCACGGGAACAAAGAAATAAAGAAGAAATAAAGTAATTTTTTATTTATTCCCGTGGAAGATAGAGCACTTTTATGACACTTTTTATTCACGACAAACAAGACAAACAAAGAAAATAAGAAAATACGGCGCTGTCGCGGTTCGAACCACAGACCCTGACCCCTCCATAACACCACCTTAGACCACTGTGCTACGTAGCCTGTCGACATAAGATTTTTAAATTACATATTTGACGTAAATTTATTTCCCAGTTATTCAAAAATAATTAATTATTGAATAACCTAAAATCATTAATGAAAACATAAACGATAACATTTATTTCCTGTGTTGTTGTCAAAATGTTATGTTGTCATCATTTTTAAAAGAAGTTAATTAACATGGTAGCACATGGTAACATGGTAACACTGAAAAAATTAAATTTGGATTGAGTTTAAAAATTCATCTTTATTAAATTCATCTCTTCCAATCAATTTATTTATTCTATTAAATTCTTTTATTTTTGCTTCACTCAGTTTAAGGATTGAACGGTAAGTTTCTAATTTTTCGATTATTTCTTTCCTCTCTTTATCGTTTTCAGCCCCACCGCATTGCGGCTTCTTTTTGTAATAGCATATTTTTGATTTAATTTTGTTTAGTTTCTTTTTATATTCATCGTCTGGACTCTGAATCTTAATTGAATCAGGACTCTGAATCTTAATTGAATCAGGACTCTTGGATGCTTCGTTGTCACTCATTTCTTACGAAATAAAAAAATTAAATATTATTTAAATATAATGGAGTAATAAAATAAATCGGAATTTCTATTAATTTATTGTCAACTTCAACTAATACATTACCGTTAATATATCTAACAAATTCAGCTATTGTGTCAAATCTTCGTCTTGAATTAATATGTGGTGCATATGGTTGCTGTGTCTTTTGCAACTGAACGTCTTGAATTAATCTCCCATTATTTTCTTTACATTTCTCACAATGCTTTAAAAATCTTCTTTGGTTTTTCCTTTCTGGATCATCGCGGATAGAATAAACTTCTTCTTTACAATATGGACAAACTTTATAGCCGGTGAGTGCTTCAACGTCTGTTATTCTGTCAGCGTGAAGTTTTCCACATGGACTCTGTGTTAATAAAATATTTACTGTTTCAAATTCTGGATCTATCATTATTGATTCCACTAATGGAAAGTCTACCTTATTTATGTCCACGTCTTCTGGTTGAGGATCACAATAATAGAAATCAATATTAACATTTAACATTCTCGCTAATCTCTCACTTTCTGATGAAATGTCAAACCCTTCATATGCATCTATTGCTTCATTTAAATAGCTTCTACGAGTTTTAGGATTAACACCATCAGGAATGTTATAGAAGCGTTTAAATAACCTTCTACCTTCTGCTTTAATTTGATTATCATTCATTTTAGCTGTTCCGTTTTTGTTCATTTATGTAAGAATAAAAAATTAAAAAATAAATAAAAATAAAGTTTATTTTTTAAAGCCCATAAAATGAATTAAGAACACATAAATTTTTATCATCCGCGACGTGACGAATACATTTTAATTTACTCAAGAATGCGTACCCTGATACATTAAATCTAATTCCTGTCTTATTTAATTTCACAACTTTGAAAAGGAATGTATGAATAGCTATAAAATGATGAGAAGATGTTTTATGGGTTGCTTCCATTTTTTCTGAAATAAATGAATAAATATAATGCTTATACGTTTTCATATCTTTTATGTTCTTAATAACGAATGGTATAGACCTTTCAACTTCGTCTTCCTTCGGTGCTGTTCTTTCATATGAAACATTATTAGTATCTTCAATAATGAAACCACAATCACACAAAATTTTATAGGTTCCAATGGTTTCTTTTGATATTTTATCTAATAAATCAAAAACTTTATCAACACCCGTGCATTTATTTAAATAATAATTTGTGTAAATATCATGATCTTCTTTCTTAATCGTATTAGTTGCATATGTCACGTTTTTAAGAGCTTTTTTGAATTTTTCGGAATCTAAAGGTGGTGAAAGTAGGATACAGGGGTATTCTTCATTATCAATAAATTGTAACTTATGTTTACGAATAAATTTAGTACCTTCTTCTGAAAGTGTTTCGTCTATTTCACCATCTAATAAATTTTGTGTTGATTCTGAGACATAATTTTTATATCTTTCTTCATGAGATTTCTGAACTTCTGATTCTGAAGCTGGGATATTCATTAAACCCTCTACTTCATTTTCATTATATTTTTCAACTTCTCTTAATTCCTTAATTTTTTCATCTATTTCATCTCTTATTTTTTTCAGTCTTTCAATTTCATTGTATTCATCATCTTTAATCCGTTCTTCATAATATTCGGGGAAAACATCAGGTTCTTTAGGTTTTTCTTCTTCAGATGTGGGATACAAGAAATTTATAACATCATCTTTATTCATTTTTCCATCATAATCTAAATCATTTAATAACTCGGCAAATTTTTGACAATTTCTTAAATAATATTTATCAACTTCATAACCTACCTCCTCTAATATATCCTTTATTTCCCCGTTTGTGAATCCTAATTTTTTAACGTTGTTAGTTTTGACGCTCATTTCAAACAAAATAAAAAAATAAAATAATAAACATAACTAAGTTTTAATTTTTCGTAAGACATTAATTTTTAAAGTTTATTTTTTTAAAATTTTTTTATTTTTTATTTCATTATGGTAGTGAATCTTTCATTCATGAAAATAATTATTTCTAATTTCTTTTATTCTCTCGTACATACTAGATTTGAAGAATTCGGAACTTTTACCATAATCTCCTAAATGTTTTCTTATCCCTAACGTGTGCCAGTTATTATATGAAACTGAATAAACTTTATCTTTATCTTTACACCTTTCATTACTTCCAATATATTATATCTCAGTTTTGATTTAGCATTTTCATATTCATTAGCGTTTAATAATTCACAGTCTTCCTTTTTAAATTGATGTTTAAGATATTCAGGATTTAATACTCTACGTTTATATGCTCCTAACTTAGTTCTAAAGGTTTTTCTACAAAATTTAGGAATTCCATCCTCTTTAATGTCATCAATGATTTCCATTTCATTATTTTCAATTTCTTCTTCTCGTTTATGAGGTCTTTGATTATGACTCCATTGATTCCATGAAATTAAATATTCTTTATCATTATATTTATACCTCATTAGCTTATTTTGGCTTTCATATTCATTTAATAATTCACAATCTTCATTTTTAAATTGAAGTTTAACCCATTCAGGATTTAAATGATGTTTAATTAATCGCGGAATATCTGACATCATCTATATATAGCTTCTTTTATAAAAGATAAAAAAATAAATTATTTTAAAATTAATGTTAATTTTTTAATGATTTATAAATAAATATATTTTAATGCATCGTCTATATATAGATGTAACAAAAAAAGTCACTAAACCCGTCATATCCTACTACTATTGTGATTCAATTTTTTGTTTATAATTCATAACTTGTGGTTCTTTTAGTTTATTTGAAAGTAATCTAATGAAATCATCAAGTGCAATAACTTTTGGATTCTCAGTTCTTCCAATAGTTTTATCATGTTTTCTAAAATGATCAGTAAATTGTAATGAAGTATCTGAAAGTTTTGCAATATATGCAGATAAATCTTTGAGATCAGTTTCACACCTGTTTATTGCTCGCTCTAATTTTTCCAATTTTTCTTTTGCTTCTTCAACGACAGGGTCTTTTTGATACTCGCTACGACTGACGTGTTCCTTTGCATTTTGTGCTTGCATTAATACTGCATCCTTTGTTTTATTTGCAAGTTCTTTGATCTTTTCCATTTCTAACAATCTGATATTTAAAATCGTTTCCGAAAAATTATGAAAAATTGAAAACATTTGAAAGTTTATACGGATTTATTAAAAAACAAACATTTAAAGGAATTTAACAGTTGATTCAGCAATATAACTTATGGAAGGTGATGCGTAGGGAAAATATTGGAACCAGAACTCTTCCAAGTTGATAACAGATCCATCTTCCAATTTCAACCAATCTTTATCAGAATCAGTGCTAGAATCATTCATTAACTTAACACTCTTTGTTTCATCTTTAAATACAAAAACATTTGGTCTTTCTAAAGAAACTGAAAACTTTTCATTTCCTATTTTCCAACCTCGTGAAATTATCGACATAAAAAGGGTTGGAAGCTTTGTCCCAACAGAGGAAAATGGTCCAAAGTGATAAAATATGGAACAAAAGATTTCAGGAGTGATAATATCTGAATGATATATAAATTTAATTAACTGATCAATTTGAGCGAATCCAGCAAAACTTGATGGGATAAATTTTCCAAAATCAACTGATAAATGCTCTGGATAGAGTTTACAAAAGTTATTCCATTGTGTTGATAAAAATATGGACCATAGCTCTGAAGGAATGCCTTCCGGAATCTGATATACTGATTCTAATGAATTTCTTGGAGCAGTTTTCGAATAAACATACCATTTTCCCTTTTCTAATACTTCAATTTTGTGAAAACCAAATATAGAAAAGTTCTTTTGAAGAGATCTTGGCTTTACATCAATAACAGCACTAAAAACAGAAGCATTAACTACAATATTCCCTTGATCATTTCTGAAGATTCCAATCTTTAGTCTCCCTGCTGGGTGTTCTCCGACCCAATCTAAGGAAAGTTGAACTTTTTGACCAAAATCTAGCTTATTTGGTCCTTTAGTTTTAGATAATAGTCGAGATGCGAGACCAGGAGGAATATCGATTTGATCATTCATAAAAATGATATCAAAAATACAAATAAATGTATATAAAATTCAATAATAATAGTTATAAAAGGTAAAACAATACATTTTTTACTACAATAAAAAATATTTCCGTATTTTACTGTCTCTTCTTATGCTTCTTGAATCGAGAACGGATCAACTCTGGATTCGTTACTTCAATTTGCCTAAGAAGCATTTTGAAGTGCTTATCAATATCTTTCAAACCTTCAACTTGAAGTTCTTTCAATTTTTTGATAGTAACCGAAACAAAATCTACAATTTCCATCTGAAACGGCTTCGTTTTTTCATTCGATTTAATTTTATATTCTTTCACTTTTACGATTTCTTTCTTGCTATTATCCAGGAGATTAATACAATCATCTTTCATGCCAAATTTCGCAACGCCTTCTTCAACAATTTTGTCAACAAACGCTTGCATTCCCTGTGTATAGTTTATCCAGCTGTTGTAATGGCTAAGTCCGAGAGGGGAGTATATATTGTCTTGACATTCATTCTGATGCTTCGTTGAGTCTTCAATTCTCTTCATAAAAGAATTTCGAAGTTGACGAGAAAGTTTGTAAATATCATGATCCATTTGGTCTGCACCTGGCGATGATAACTTTTCGATTATATTCTCGAGCTTTATTTCTCTTTGGTCTAAGAATTCAAGAAATCTGATGTGGCAATGCTCTGTATGAATTATTCTGTCAATGAATGAGTGTATATCAGCTGGAATTCTTGCAGGAGATGCCATCATAACGTCTCTGAGGTCTTCAATTTCTTTTTCTTCGAAATTGTTGTAAATACTTTTAACAAAAGCCTGAGTAATTGTTGAAGAAGGTAATTTCTTGCAGTGTAAAAGTAAGTCAATTGTTGGATCGACAAGATCTGCGGCGATTTCGAATGGAGTTCTTCCATTTGAGTCAGGAGCTGCTCTATCAGCTCCATGATCAAGAAGTATGCGTACACACTCTGCTTGATTTTGTTTTATTGCGAAATGTAGCGCAGACCTTTTTCCAACGGTTAATTGAGATTCGTAATCAAGTAAAACTTGGCATGAGTTGTAATCTCCTTTGTTAATAGCATGAAATAGCGCGATTTCGTCAGATTTGTTAGTTACATTTGGATTCGCTTCATATTCAAGTAATAAATTAACAGCTTCTCGATTTCCTGAATTAACGGCAGTAATCAAAGCAGGAGTTCCGCTTCTTGTTTTCGAATTGGGATCAACACCGGCTTTTAATAGAGCAAGTAACGACTTATTTTTTTTCAATTTGATTGCATAGTGAAGAGGGGGTGGTAAACTCGTACAATTCGGCGAATATGGATCACAACCTTTATCAATAAGATATTTAATAGTGTCTGTATCGTTTTCATTAATGCAAAAATGAAGGAAAGTCATTCCGCCTATTAGCTGATTTGGGTCACCTCCTGCATCAAGAATTGCTTTAAGCTCTTCTATTGATGACATTGAGGTGAAAATAAAATAATTTTGACGTCAATTTTACAAACAAAAAAAGATTTTACATGTCAAAAAATAAAAAATTGCCATTTTCGAAAATTACATCCGAAGAAAAAGAGAAAGAGAAAGGAAAGGAAGATAATTATGTGCATCCATGGTGGACAGACACATATTCTTTTAAGAAGTATGTCAGAGGCGTTGCTCCTCAGCATCTAATCGACACTTCCACACGACATAGAATATACAATTCTGTATATTGGCAACAACATTGTTTTGGTGTTAATTTACTGACATTAGTTGATCGAGCACAATCTTTGAAAGGCGTTGGAGGTGTTTATGGCTTGTTTCGTGAACCTTGTAATTTCATTTGCCTATTTTTAAAACTTTTAGAATTAGAACCATCAAAAAAAGTTATTGAGGGCTTTCTAAACACGAAATCCTGGCAAATGAAACACCTAAGACTTCTTGCTGCTCTTTATGTTCGTTTCGTTTTCCCTGCTGAAGAAGTTTATTTGATTTTAGAGGGATTATTAGGGCAGTACTTTAAAGTCGCTGTTCTAAGAGAGGAAGGCTTCAAAGTAGAATACTTTGATACTGTTATTTATTCATTTTTGCATGATAAATTTTGGTGCGGAATAACATTTCCACCATTAACTCCAAGAAACAATCTCCCTCCCCGAATAACACCATTAGCACACATGGCCGATAAAATTAAAGAAGAAGAATTTGCCAAACTTGGAATGAACAAAGATGGAGAATTATTTGAAGAGATTGAAAAGAGAAAATCAGAAGAAAAGCAATCAGGAAGAATCCAATTTAAAGTCAAAAAGAAGGTTCCTGTTCCAGCGCCACAAAAATCAGAGGCCAATGAAATTGCTGAAGAGAACAAACTTAGAGCAATGCTTGGCTTACCACTACTTCATTAGCTACTACTGCCTAATATGAAAGCTTGTTATAAATGTATGTTTATTGAAAATTTTTTCAGATTCTTCTTCTTTAGGAAGTTGCTACATTGCACCATCAATATTCAAGCATAACACGACAAATAATTATTAATAGATAACAATTCTGCTGAAAAATCTGAATCAGAATTTCAGATCCATTATTAAAATTCGCCGAAAATTAAAATGCGGATCATCATATATGAGAATTATCCTATAATCAACTTGAACCAAATTATGGTGTTTTTATAGTTGTTTATAATTAAATCCGAAAGATTCACAATTTAATTCTCAAATTCATTATCCGGACGGCAACAAATATAAACACTTTTGAATCAGTTAGAACATGTATTTGCTATACTTCATGTCCTGACTATTATTTTCAAAATTTGGATCATTCTGATAACCAGTTCAAAATTCAATGTTGATGGCTAAGTATACATCGTTAATACAATGAAAATTCAACTATATAGTTGTAATATGATAATTCCGGCAAACCATATTTTTTGAATTGAGCAGATCGTTGAACTTCCAAAATTGGAAATTATTTTTTAACATCATATTCTAAACATAAATTAGAATTTTTTTGACGACATTTGTCATGTTTTTGCCATAATCTAATTTTTTTCAATGTTTTTGTTATTATTTGCTCTTGCAACATCCCTTGTAAGAGATAGCAGTCGTCACAAACGTGTTCGCCATCATCATCACCCACTCAGATATCAGATTGAAGAACCACGTTTCCGAAGTTATCAATTTAATCCTTTAGAATTTGAAGAGAATTCATACGAAGATGAAGAAAATCCATTCGATTACGAGTTTAACGAAGATGAATTCGACGTTAATGGTTTTGGTAAGAAATTCAAGAAAGCTGTTAAAAAAGTAGGTAAAGCCGTAGGCCACGCCGCAAAAGGTGTTACAAAAGGTGTCGCTAAGGGCGTCAAGGAAGTCGGAAAAGGCGTCGGAAAAGTCGGAAAGGAAGTCGGAAAGGGCGTCGGAAAAGTTGGAAAGGAAGTCGGAAAGGGCGTCGGAAAAGTTGGAAAGGAAGTCGGAAAGGGCGTCGGAAAGGTAGGAAAGGAAGTCGGAAAGGGCGTCGGAAAGGTAGGAAAGGAAGTCGGAAAGGGCGTCGGAAAGGTTGGAAAGGCAGTAGGAAAGGAAGTCAAGAAGGTTACAAAACAATCAGTTAAGATTGTTAAAGCCTCAATCAAATCTTCCTTAAGAGTTGTTCAAGCCGCAGCTCACATTACTGAAGGTGCTGTCCGTATTTCAGTTGCTCCTCACCACGCTGCCCGTATTCTCAAGCAAACAGGACGCCGCCTTGGAAAGGATGCTAAGCGCTTCAAAGAAGACTTCAAGCCAATCGTACATGTTACAAAGCAAGCTCTTAAGGTTCTTAAGAAGATTGCTCCATACATCGGCCCGGTACTCGCTATTATTCCAGGTATTGGTCAAATTTATCTTGTTGCACAAGTTGCTTACACATTATCTACAGTTTACAAGGCTTATGCTATCTACAAGGCCCTCGAAGGTGCATACTATGGTATTAAATATCATAACCTTGATGCAGTCGTTGGTGGTGTTCTCAGCACATGCGGTGCTTTGGGTGTCCCAGGCGTTGACAAGGCCGCTCAGATCTACCATGAAGGCTCAATGCTCTACAAGGCCGTCAAGAACAAAGATCTTGGAATGGCTTTGGATGGCTTGGTTTCTATTGCATCGAACCACAAAGCAATTAAGAATTGGGCTATGGAAACGGTCGGCAACAACGAATTCCTACGGCAAGGCCTGGATTACTACGAACAAGGTAAACAGATTTACAAGGAAGGTAAGCAGATTTACAGAGCCGTCAAGGACGGAGACATTGCAAGTGCACTTGCAGGTGCTACAACAATGCTCTCCGATTACGTTCCATCCGATAAATTGAAGAGATTTGCAGATGTCGCAAGTAAGGTTTCCTACACAGTCAGTGCCATTGAGAAGAAGAAGTTCGGTACAGCTCTCGAGCTCATTGCCGGTGGAGCCAACGCCGTCTTCCATACAGACTTTACAGATAATCTTGTCAAACAGACATCCACATTACACCAGCTCTCCAGAGACATCAAGTCTGGCCATATCGGAACAGCATACAACACAATCGCCTCTGTTTACAACATCACATTACCAGATAAGACAGTTCAAGAGATCGAGAAGATGGTTACAATGAAGAACAAGGTCACAGACATCTACAAGGAGCTCGAGAAAGGCCATATTGCAACAGCTTACGGCAAATTCGCTGCTGCATTCAACTTATCCGTTCCTGTCCTCGAGAAAGCCATTGCTTTAGAGAAGACATACATGGACAAGGCCAGAACAATCAAGAGCGCCTACGAACTCTCCAAGGAAGGCAAATACGACGAAGCATTTGCCAAATTAAACTCTGCGGGAGTCCACTTAGGCCAGGAGAACGAACAGACAATCCAGGAACTCATGAAGACACAGAAGGAACTCTACGTTGTCTACAAGGATGTCAAGGCCGGCAAATACGGTAAAGCTTACCAAGCATTACACGAGAACTTCAACATCACAATTCCAAATGAAATTCTTGAGTCAATAAACCGCGGTATCCAAGTCCGTGACCAAGTCAAGGCCTACCACCATCAGGCAATCCAAATCCGCGATGCTGCCAAGCACGGAAACATCTCCGGTGCTTATGTCATGTTTGTAGAACTCACAGGCACAACATTGAACAAGACAAAGGAGCAGCAATTGAGATCATTAGAAGAAAAGATTGCTCAGTTCGAGGAATTCGGCAAACAAGTCAAACGTGGCAATTTCGATACAGAAAGATTCACACAGATCACTGGTATCAAGCTTTCTCAATCTGTTGAAGCCAAGATTGCCTTTGCTAACAAGTATTACGCTGATATTTCATACGCCAAGAAACTTGTTGATGATAAGAAGTATGAAGAAGCTGTCCATGAAATCAACAGAAAACTCAGACTCAATCTCAAACCAGAAGAGATCACAAAACTCTACGAAACAGTTCAGACATCTGTTGATTTGATGAATACAGGAAATGCTACAAAGGGATTAGTTCTTTTCGAACAAGTCACAGGCATGAAGATATTAGACCAATACCAGCAAATCATGGACATCAAGGCAAAGATCCAGGCAGTCAAGGAAATCATCAACCAAGGAAAGGAAGCTGATGTAAGTCAACTGGGAATCAATGGAATCCAGAACGAAATGGATGATTACCAGATGCAGCAAGAGTTCTGCGATTTCGAATACGAAATGGGTCAAATGGAAGCTAACATAGAAAGTGGAAACTACAACCAGGCAATCAAGATCAAACACGCTCCTAAGTTTGTAAAGAACGCTGTTAACAAGATCAACAGAGAAATTGAAAGAGTCAAGGAACAGATCGCTAGAAACAAGCAGATCATCAAGGATTCCGTTGACAACAAGCTTAGAAAGGTATTGCCATTCTTACAGAAGAAGAAGACACAAGAAGTCCCAGATTTCATTGCTAACTTCGATGTCAACTCAATGATCGAAACAAACGAAATCGACACAACACACTTGAGATACTACGGCCATCACCACGGATTGAAGACAAGAAAGGTCAAGAAGGTCGAAGAAAACGCTAGAGAAGCTGGAATCTTCAGAAAGGCTACTTCTCGTGTTGCCAAGCCTTCTATTTCTCTTCCAGAGAAGAAGGAACAACCAATTTCAACACTAGTCAGATCTCATTTCGGAAGACATATTACAAAACCAATCGCTCCAGTTGTTACTGCTCCTAAGCCAGCTCCTGTTACATTATTCAAGAAGATTGCTCCAGTTGCAGTTGCTCCTAAACCAGCTCCAGTTGCTGTATTTAAGAAGATTGCTCCAGTTGCTGTTGCTAAGCATTCTGTTTCTCTTGCAGAGAAGAGTTCATCATTTGGACATGTTTCTACACCATCACTTCCAGAGAAGAAGGAACAACCAGTTGCTCCAAAGGTTGCTGCATCTATCTTCAGGAAACAAGTTACTTCACCAGCTGTTGCTGCTGTTGCTGCACCAGCTACTAAGATGCACCGTAAATTCGGAAGTTTGGTACACGGCCCACGCCGCCAACCTCCGAAACTCGTTGCTGAATTCAAGAAACCAGCTCCAGTTTTAGTTCAGAAGCCAGCTCCAACACCAGTTCCAACACCAGAAACAGTTGTTGAAGTTCAGGAAGTCATCCAGGAAGAGTACGATGAGAAGCAACTCACTGCAGAGTTGAATGAAGTCAACAAGACATGCCAGACATACTTACTTGATTTGATGACAGCAGGCGACATCTTAGATCACTCCATCGGTGCCGATATCGCTAAGCAGGCAACAACATTCTTGTCAACAATCGAACAGAAGAACGAAGAGTCTAATGATAAGAACATTGCCGTCAAGAAGGCCATCGCTAACCAGATGTCATACATCCATGAAAAGGGTCAGCACGTCAACTATGATGCTCCAGAAGTCACATCAGTCCAACAACTCCTTGATCTTCTCAAGAAGGCAAAAAAGTAAAATAAATTGAATTTTACTTTTTAGTATATTTTTTACTTGGTTTGAAGCTCAAAACAGTTCATGTTAAAAGAAAAACAAAAACAAATTTCCGAAATGAGCTTTTAATATTTAGCATGAGCTCTTCTCATTCATAAATGATAAATAGATTGCGCATCTGTTATTGGAACAGTGCGTAGTTGATTTTGGATTTGGTTGATTACTTCAGATTTTATCGAATAATTATTTACCCTATCATATAAAACTTTTCCGCCAGTGGCTCCTTTTAAGTTGGTATTTTCCTCTTCAAAATAGCAATTGTTGATAAACATTTCTGAAGCGCTGATACCTTGACCATTATTTCCTTGATCAGCATATGCAATATAATCATTTTTATTGCCAATAAAAATTGTATTTTTAAATATAACTTTAACGCTATGAGATGAATAAATCAGAAAAGATGCACTATTGTTAGAAAAACAACAACTTTCTATCGTAAAGTTCCCAGAGTATACAACAGCAATACCATATGTATCATAATCATATTCTTTTTTACCATATATTGACCCTTCTCCTGCTGAATTTTCATTAAAAATTGAATATTTTATTGAATCATCACCCGAAGGAAACATAGTAAATATTGGAGTGTTATCAGAATTACAATGACTTATATTCAATGCTGTGGAATTTCCTGATGTATCGCGTGATCTAAATGCATTAACACCATATGAATCTGGCGCACATGATTGAATCGTAGTTGATAAAATTTTATTTTCTGCAAAACGAAAAGTTGCAAAATTTCCTCCATCAAGATAGTAATAAGACATGGATATTTGATTATAACATCTATCAGCAGAACATTTGTTTATGATACATGAACTGTTTTGAGCTTATTCAAATATTAAACAAAGATGAAGTAATTACAGTTATCATAAACTTTATGAATAACTCTGTAATTGGTTCAGATTTTCGTAAAAATATTTTTATTAATATCGATAAGAATACGTTTACCTACTATCACAACATATCGATAAACAAGAGTAGAGTGATTTTTATTATCGAAACTTTTTAAAAGCTGTAAGCTGGAAGGGAAAATCTTGTTTTTTCTGAGTTAGTTGTAGAACTATTGATGCACGAGTTATCATTGTGATGTAGAAGGATGTCAATGTATTGACTGAAGGATATGAAGTGAATTGAATTTCATTGAATTTCAATTTGATCAAAATTTGTTGAAATGATATGAATGTGTCAACATCTGTATCACTCTCTTTCACTCCTTCCCTATTCTTTCGAGAACGAAGCTAGCTCGGCTTTCGCTGAGCGAATTGACACTTTTGATGCCCTAAACGTACATGCTCTCAAATTTATCGAAAAAAATTATACCACCTAAACTAGTATATTCTTATTTTAAATATGATATTATCCTTAGAATACACACTAGAATATATTTAAATCAACTTTTAAAAAAGTTCGAATCCTGCGCGTCTCACTTTTTAAATTTTCCAAAAGGAAAATTATATTCTCCTAAAATGAAAACAATTTTCCGAATTGACATCCTTAAAATAATCGAAATATGAAAGAAATAAAACTTAATAAAAAATGAACGTTTATAATTTTTCATTATGGATTATCCAACTCCAACTACTGATTTCCTTGATGGATCAACACATGATCACTTAATGTTACGGTTCCACATATGATTTAGATCATTCTCCTTAATATTTATCGAAGAAAAACGCCAAATAATGAAATTTATTTGGTTTATGCCCGCTGAAGTCAATTTAGACAGATTACAGTCCAAAGGATCCAGTAAAAATCACAATATTTTTACACATGGCCTTAATGAAAGCCAACAAGAATAAAATTCTTGCAAATTATTCAAAGAATTGTAAGTTTCATTGGCAAAAATGAATAAAGATATTGCTTATATACTATTTTAATTTACTAGCAATGATTTTTTGAGTCTTATTAAGTTTTTTTAAAAAATTAAAATATCTAAATTACATATTTTTAAGTTTTTGTTTTGAATGCACTGCCCAAATATACTCAATGTAAGGATACTATTTATATTAATATTGGCTTCTAAATATCAAGGTTTACACCTTTTTGCCCCGTTTATACCTTTTTCTCCCGACTATATATATATAAGCATCTCAAAATCTATTCATTTAATATTTTGTTTTTGGATATTTCGAACTGCTTGACAACACCACATGATATCGATCCTCTTCAGATCTAAGCATTTTTCTCGTTCTCTGACCAGTTGAGAAAAATTAATTATGGTATATAATTATTTCTTTCAATAGAAACGATTCATAGATACTTTCGATTGCTTGTTGTTGGCAAAATACCACGACCGAATTCCATTGTGTCAGAATATGACCATAAATATTCAGGCAAAATTTGATTTCTGACATTCAAAAGATCAAAGATCAAAAACCATATGTGAACTAGTAAAATGCTAGATTTTGTTCAAGTTATATCAAAAAATGTAATTCTCGACTTTATTCAACAAATTGGTGAATTCGTTTTTTCTCAGGCAAACAGAAGATTGTTCTGATAATCGCTAACGCCACCAGCAAGAAAGAACATGGAGGACATATGCATTAGGGCATTTTTGCTCTAGTTTTGACAAAAATAAGTTGAGTGCATTTTTTTTTTCAAATTCTAAAAAAACGATAGGATGGCATTTTTTGACAAATTAATAAAATGTTCACCATAATTCTATCTTTAGAGGATGACAATATTTGGAATAGTTACTTCAAAAGTCAATTTACAGGCCAAGAAATCAAATCATGCCAAAACTGCAATCTACCAGCAGGTCAAGGTCAATATTACTTAGATGAGTGCAATTTTTTTGATGATAATAACCGAGTTATCTACTTTGATCCAGTTAAAAACTCATTGTTCCTACATAATCGGTGTTCTTTTAGTAATTGCACTTCAACATCAAGTGGAAGTTGCATTTACTTCAAAATTGGTAGTAATAGTTCGATTGTTCAACGAAAATTCTGTTGTACAAAATGCCAAAGCCAAGGTAAAGGCCAATTTTCATATACTTTAGTTGACAGAGATAACTTAAACTTTTTTATGGAAAGTTCCCTTTTCGATGTAGGAAAAGAAAGTGTTGGTTGTTCTATTGAAGCAGAACGTGATAATATCGTAGTTTCATCAACAAATTTCTCATCATGCAAAGCATCTTGGGGACCTGCTGGTTGGCTTAAAAGTCCTAATGTTAATTACACAACAAAATATAACTATACAACTGTTGTTAATAATTTAGCAACATTTATTATGATTCTAAGTATTTGGTATAACGCTTTGATTGATTCATGTAATATTATAAATAATACTACTACTCAATCAGATTTTGGAATTATTCACCATCAAGAAAATTCTCTTACTGTAAAAAGTTGTTCTTTTATTAACAACACTGGTCCTGAAGATTCATCTTTGATATTTAACAGTAATTATGGTGATCCAAATGAACAAACAACAGTTGATAGTTGTTACATTGACAATTCGACTTCATCAACATTTCTTAGAAATGTAGTACTTACTAATCCAAGAGAACTATTTACTAACAAATTGATTCATCTTTCAACTGGTAATTGCCAAGCAGAATTTGCAATTATCAAAAAAACCAAATGCATTGAATATTTCTCTCACCGATTCCCATGTCGTCGTTGATTAAATATTTTATATTAATTATTTATCTTGAATAAAATTACTTTTATTTATATAGAAACTTTCTAAAATATCCGTATTCTGTGTTCTGTAAAAAATTCAATGATGACAGAATTTATTACATTTCCATATGGATAAATGAATGTAATTAAATCCTACTCAAAAATTAGCATGGAATAAAAAAAAAAAAAAAAAAGTATTGGGGCTTCCAGGCACTTCGTGCCTTCTAGCCCCTAAAATTTTTTGAAAGTCGTTGCTGTTGACTTTTCGGTAGAGGACTCAAAATAGTAGAACTATGTCCGACAAGTAAGAGTCTATCGTCGCTACGTCACCAGGTCCCTCGGTCCCTCGGTTAAACGAACTTCTCTGAAAAAATGAGACAACATGACATTTTGACAACAGTCCAGGAAGTCTTAACAAGATAGGATGGTTATTTTACAAAACCGACAAGACCTTAACCGAGTAGTTTTCATGTTTTGTCACTTTTCTGTCACTTTTCAGGGAAAAAACATTTTTATTAAATATAAAATGAATTTTACAAAACCACCGTTACCCTTCTTTGGAAATAAGAGTAGATGTAAAGATATTCTATTGAGAGAACTTAAGAAACTACCGAATGGTCTAACATTTGTAGATTTGTTCGGTGGAAGTTTCTATATATCTCATTTGTGCCATACCGTATTTCCTGACTCGAAGATTATATGCAATGACTTCGACAACTATATGAACCGTCTCAAACATATACCAGACACTAACAAAATATTGAAAGAGTTAAAAGAAAAGATACCTATAGGTAAGATGGAACGTATACCATTAGATAAGAAAAATACTGTCAGAGAGGTTTTGAAAAAAGCAGAGTATATTGACTGGGATAGTATATCTTCTAGACTATTGTATAGTGGTTCTATAAGAGTTCATGACATTGAAACACTTATGTCAAACGTTTTATATCTTAACTATACAAAGGTTTTCAAAGAGAACATAGAAAAATATACTGAGGGTATAGAGTTTGTGAGATGTCGTTGGACAGAGTTGTATGAAAAATATAAAAACAAGGAAAATGTTTTCTTTATAGTGGACCCGCCGTTCTATAACACATATGATTTTCAATACCAAGTAGACTGGACTTTGAGAGACTCTTTAGAAACTTTAGACGTTTTACATAACCATCCATGCTTTTACTTTACATCCGATAAAAGTGGTTTGGAAAGTGTCATGAGATGGTTAGAGGATATACATGACTATGAGTTTAGATACGATAAGATAGAATATGAGAGAGGTCCTATAAACCGGAAAAAGTGTCATAACAAAGAAATTTTATTGGTAAGTAAATGTGGTTTGAAATAGGACTACTTGTTTTAGGTTTTTTCCATTGTGTCATTTACTTATTTGACGTGGCAGAAAGATATAGAGAATATGAAGATGAACCAATGCCAGCAAATGTTCAGTATATGTACTCGTAAGAGATATTTTTATCTAATATTAAATGGACGCACAGAACTTAGCAAATGCACAGCAACCCGGACAACCAAACCCAGAGAATATTCCAAATGAAGTTAGAATACAAACTGCAATGGCAAACTATGGTCAAGTGCCAACAGATGTACAAATGCAAACTGCCATGTCAAATGACGCTGCGTTAGGTTTGCCACCATGGTATGCAAATATGAGATGGAAAGAGTTTTATACAAACCCTGAAGTGGGATATAAACAACTCTATGCAGATGACGCGAACACAGGAGTTGACCCAGAGTATGTTTTCTACCAGAGGAGAAATAGAATGTATGAGCTCCAGTTAAAGAATGCTATGGAACTCAGAAGGAAACGTAAGAGACTAGGCGGACATTAGATTTTTACATATAGTAAAATGGGTTTCTTCAGTAGTATTGGAAACTTCTTTCGAAATGTTGGAAGAGGTATATGGAATGGAATAAAATCTGTCGGAAGAGGAATTTGGAACGGTGTCAAAAATATTGGTAAAAGAGTAGGTCAGTTCGTTGGTATTATACCTAAAGACCCTGAACCAGAAGAACAAGCTCCTGTTATACAACAGCCTGAACCTGCACCACAGTCTAGTTGGCAACCAAATCCAACACCTCAACCGTATTAAAATTATATTTTTACCGTTCGATAGTAGTTGTATATGAGACTAAGTTCTAAGTAAAACGCATGGTATAATGGAACTATTCTCTTTCTTCCATCTGTTGTAAACCATACTTGAAAGTCTGAAATACTTCCACTCGGTGGTTCATATAGCTTTGTAGGTTTTTCGTAAAAGTCATTTGCCAAGCATAAAAAAGAGTTTTGTGCACCAGAAAATGAAGCATGAACGATAATAGCATCTGAGTCGAAAACATTTTCATATGTTCCATTAGGGTTTTCGACTTCATAAAAGTTCGGGTGTACTGGATATTCTGCAGGCTGATTTAACATCCTCAAAAATCTATACCATGCCAAGTTGTTATATTTTGTAGAAATATAAACGTCTTCTCCAAGGTCTTCTATTCTATTGATTTTAACAGTTGCATTTTTCCTGTCATAAACAATATCGAGATGGTACTCTCCTTCGTCAATGTTAAACTGGTTTGCATATTCGAGATAGATATCGTTTATTTTTTCTTGAAAAGCTTGAAGAGTTGTTTCTAAGTTTACAAGCAAATTCACTTGTAAAAGTTTTCCCTGTTCAAATTTCTCATACGTACGTTTTTCTTTGTTATAGTATCGAACTTCAAAAGCGACCGTAAATGGGAAACCATGTATGGCTTCTGAAATGAACTTCATTCTACGAAAGCCAATAGCTTTTGTGACGGATGGGTCTCTTAACCATCTTAACGGGTAGTCAAAACGATAGCCTTCATGTTTTACGGTCTCTGTCTCAAACTTTTGACCGACATTCGTAAAAAGTTCATCTAATGGTTTAGTTGTAGCAACTCTTGAATTTTCTTTTTCTATTGAAAGCATATTTTATCTAGAATAAAAATGTCGAAAGAAACAGCGTCTATGAGAGAAATACAACACAACCGACAACTCATTGTACAAGCTCTAAATAAGAACACAACAAACTTTTCAAACTATTCTAAGATATCTGAGTCATTGAAAGAAGGAAACTTAAAACTGACGATAAACCCAATGACAGACGAGTTTCTGTTTCAAGACAGTAAGAACCATACTGTTTGTATAAATCCAACAAAAAGAACTTTAAACGAGAAACCTATAGATGAACTTCTTTTGAAAGCAGATATTGACAACAAAGCTGACAAAGAGTATGTAGATGCAACAAGAGACTATATTCTCGCATGGACAGATAGAACATACCCACAAAAACATCATACACATAACATCTATGACGTAGATGAACTACCAGCAATGTTAGATGACAAAGCTGACAAAACATATGTTGACAATAAAATGTCAAGTGAAGTGACAAGAGCTGACAAAGAATATTCTAAAAAGACTCATACACATACCATATCTGATATTACAAACTTACAAGAAACCTTAAACAAGAAAAGTGACGTTGGACATACACACGATTTCTTCGCAACTGTTGGTATAGAAAATATTGCAGGAACGGTTGAAGAACCTGATGGAACTGGTGGGGATGTATTGTATTGGAAACCTCCTAACTTTCCACAAGGTTTAACATCGGATGAAGACATAACGACGATGAGATACATTAGATGTAGAAATGTCTATGTCATGGAGGATGAAAACAAAGTTAAATTCACTGCTCAAGATTTATATGATAAAAAAGCTGACAAAACAGAGCTTCAAACGTTAAAGACAGAAATACTTCAAACATTATATCCTATAGGCTCTATTTATACGTCAATGAACTCTACCAGACCAGAAGTAGTACTTGGTTTTGGAACTTGGACTCAAATAGTCGACAGGTTTTTGTATTGTGCAAACTCTTCAAAGGAAACAGGTGGAAGTAAAACGATTTCAGGTGAAAACCTACCTGCACACAGTCACTACATAGATTTAAGTACATCTCAAGCAGGTTGGCATAGTCATAGATATTGGGATTGGTCATCAATGACAAAAGGTAAAGGATATGATGTTAAAAACAACGTTAAGTTTGCTATAGATTGTTACTGGAGTAACACAGGGAGAGGAAACCATATACATCGCGTTTCAGGGTATACGCAAACAACGGGACAAAGTAAAGACTACATGCCACCTTACATGACAGTTTACGCATGGTATAGAAATGCTTAGTCGTCATTTTCAACTTCTTTAGCATATTCGTCAGGAGTTGTCTTATATTTGTTAGGAACTGTCTTTGAAAGTATACCACCTTGAACCTTAACAAGTTTGAAACGAGGTCTGACAATAGTAGTTTTATCTTCTGCTTGCAGTTTGTACATTTTGCCATGTTTGCCTAAAACTTCATAATATTCTCTTGTATACTTTCTTCTATTTTTACGAACACGAATGTGAGTACCTGTCGAGTTCCCATTGTTGTCATAGTCAATAGTATTTTCATATGGGTCGCGTTTAGGTATTTCTATTTTTACTTTGTCACCTTTCTTAAGTTTGAAGCCTGGCATTCTTTCTTGTTTGTCTCTTTTGACTAAACTATTAAATATATAGTCTTTCTCTAAGTCGGGTTGTTTTTCATTTCTTCGGGGGATGGTTTCCCAAACCTTTTTGTTTACGGCTATTGTAAATATTTAAAACTTGTCTCATCTTTGCCATGGAGAAGTGTCTATATTTGTCGTCATATGACATTTCATCTACCTCACCACCTTGTGGTTGATTTAAGTCTCTTAAGATTTTTATACAACTGTCAATGACACCAAGAGCAGAATGGTTTTGGTCGACAATGAAATATTGGTTTACATTTTTTGAACGCAGATAGTTTTTAATATCGTCTGATTTGAAAGAACTTTCACAGTCAGATGTCAGTTTTGTTGGATGGTATTTGTCAACGAATATTGTCAAAGCAGTTTTCACATCTAAAATATTTTTGGACCATAATGGTATGGCTTCACAGTATCTTGTGTTTTGACCAACAAATATTAGCCAGTATGGTGGTCCATCTTCTCTATACCTCGGAATGTTTTCCATGATATCCATAAACCAAGCATTTGGTGTTGAACTAAAGATTTTTACCATGAGTGCTTTCTTTGTTGCTTTAGAAACATACGGGTCCTTGTTTGAATTCGTCATTTTTAACCCATAAGAAATGGGTTTATTTGGCGCATTAGCAGGAGTCGCATCTAGATTTTTGCCCGCAGTGGGAACACTAGCCAGAGGTGCATTTGGAATTGGAAGGAAGATTTTGAGTACATTAGGTATACTGAAAGAGAAAGCACAACCTATTATACAAACGTACAGAAAGGTTGGGAGGTAGCACGAGATGCAGCAAATCTTATTCCAAATCCTGAAACAAGAGGAAAAGTTCAAGGATGGATGGACAATGTAGGAAGACAAGCAGGAAACTACTATAACAAAGCAAATGACTACTATAACCAAGCAGGGCACTATATGGACCAAGGTGAAAGATTCTTTAACAGAGGATATAACCATGCACAACAGTGGGTAAACAACAACCAACCTCAACCACCTCAAACGTGGGGAATGAAAATTTTTTACTGAGATGAAATGAACAATACAGCATTGAGACAAATGGGCTCAAGATGGATTTGCCGGCTTCCAGCAGTTAAACTACGTGTTTGTCAAGTTCTTCCTATACCTCAAGAAGTTTTAGACCGACTTAAAAAACCTCAACAACCAGTTGAAAACAAACCAAACTAAAATTTTTTACTGAGATGAAATGACTGAAGAAGTTGAAACGGTAGATTTGACACCACAAACAAAAAGTTCAGAACCATTGTCAAAACCTGTCAAAGAACTTACAGATGAAGAGAAAAATTCAATAATAGAAAGTGTGAGGTCTGGAAATACAAACCCTAACTACAAAGTCACTTTTCATAAAAATGGAACGGCAAGTATCTCAAAAAAGAAACAGACTCTCACAAATAAAATATTGAAGTCTGAAGGAGTTTATGAGACAACAGATGGAAAAGTTTACTTCACTGACCAACAGTTCATTATAGAACATCTCATTGACTTAGAGTCGAAATATTCTAAACTTTACAACAAACACAAAAAGTTGAAAGGAAAACAAAAACAAATGGCATATGACATTTATGAAGATGTTGACGACACAACTGTTCCAGCAAGTGAGGTAAAGTCAGCCGAACCGAAAAGTGACGAAAAACAGATAGAAGAAGGGAAGCCAAAAACTGAAGATAAACCAAAACCAAAGTTTAGTTTCCAAACTAAACCAAGTCAACCTTCATTAGCTGGTATGGGTTGGCGTCAAAGACTTTTGGCAGCAGGTGGTTACGTAAAATAAAAAAAACATTTTTTTATTTTTATAAAAAATGCCCCCGTATAGAATAGATAGAAAATCTGCTAGAATAAAAGCAGAGTTAGAAAGATATGGTTGGAGAGTTTCAAAGAAGTTTAAATATAGGAAGGGAAGACCCATAAAAGTCTATGACAAATTGTCTGGTCTGACCTATGAAATGGACCTGGAAACAGCACGCACAAATTATCCAAACAGACTAGAGAGGTTAGAAGAAGAGCGTCTTATGGACATGCCTTTCGATGTTAATGAGCCTCAAGTTGAAGGACACGACGGCTTTGCCAGATTCTACTGGAAACATGACGAACAATTGAATCCTTTGAGGAGGAAAAAAGGAAAAGGTGAAGACGCACATGCTCCCATGGAAAGAACAAGATATGCATATGAAAAGTATCGCGAGGTTAGAAGTAAAATTACATCTGGTCGAACCTTTACAGTTAACTTTGACGATGGAAAGAACAAAGAAGGCTTCATGGGAGTACTTGCTGCCATACAAGACGGAAATAAGAAAGGATACAATCTCAGACTAACCGTAACAGATTTAGATGGTCATATATACTACTCACATGGCAATGAACAAACAGCTGCACAACTTCTTGACGCTTTCAAGACTACAAAGAGAGAACAAATGTTTGACTCCGACTCAGACATCTTAAATGCAATTGAAGGAATTGCAAGCGTGAAGTTTGAATGGTACCAACCCAACCCTCAAGCAGTCAGACAACATGCTGGATACTTCCCGTTCAGAAATAAGTCTGACATTAACCTGACAAGGTATGGAATTTACAATTCAATTGAAACAATTGTCAATGAACCTTGTATTCTTACATGTCTCAGGAACTCTGGTCTTGTTACAGATGAGAAAATGAAGTATCTTGAGTCATGTGTGAAGACAAGGTACATTCTTAGAAGTCAATTGTCAAAGATTGCACCGTTGGCAAATGTCAATATCCGCGTTAACATACCTACAGCTAAAGGTTCTTCGCACGATGACTATGTTGTTGACTTCAAATTGCCATGGTTGAAGATTGTACTTGTCCACAACCACTTCATGTTGAACGAAAGTCTTACAAACCCATTGTTCGGAAAAGGTAAGTGCAACATTGTCAGAGCTGTTAACATTCTTTTCGAGAAAGGTTTGTTGGAACCAATTCCAGATGACAAGCTGACAGAAACTTTTGTACCAAAAGACGAAACAAACTTTTCATTGTTAGTAAGACCAAAAGTTGTTCCAGACAAAGTTATAGCACAAAAGAAGTACACAGTTCCAAAAGGAGTTGGATTGTTCGGATACCAACCTGAACCAGAAGAACTTCCAATGAGGTTGCAAGAACTTCAAGATGCTATAAACAAACTTCCATTGAGGCATCCAATCGACGTCAAATTGTATTGGAGAGCATCAGAGTTAGCTCAGAAGGTTTTATATGAAACAGGTTGCTTTGACGATGTTTATGAGATAACAGGCGAGGTTTCTCAGAAGATAAGAGACTCACTTGAATTTCCACGAACCGGGCCGATTGGATGCGATAAGTTCGACTCATACGAAAAAATATACTATGTCGACCTTAACGCTGCGTACATGAGGTTCGTCCAATATATCCCAACTGGAATTCCAAATGAAAATGGCGAGTTCCCGGGAAAGAACTATACAGTTGGAAAGGTCATACAACAACTCTATGATATTAGGAAAGCTTCAAACCCCAAACTTGCAATGACACTCAAATTGCTTATGAATTCAACATGGGGATATTCCATTAAAAAACCTCAAAAGATGAAGAGTAAACACTATGAGAAGGTCGACAACTTTGTTGAAAGGTTCTCCCCTTTTGTTTTGAAATACGAATTTACTCAAGGTCAAAATGGCTTAGTAACCACAGTAAAACCTATTGTCGAACATTGGTCCTATCCTCAGTTCGCAAAAGCAGTCCTTGACAACTACAACAAATTTTTCTCAGAGGTTAAATCCAAAGTGAAGGTATACTACGAAAACATTGACGCACTCATGACGAACGAAGAAGGGTATAACAAACTCATTGAAATGGGTTTAGTCGGTGAAAAGATGGGCTGTTTTAAGCTAGACAAGGTATTTTCCGAAGTTCATGTTCTCTCCAAGCGTAAGTATTGGGGTATACTTGAAGACGGGACAGAAATAAAACATTGCATGAAATAAAACATTGCATGAAATAGTAAAACATTTTTTAAAACATTTTTTTAAAAAAATATTTTTTTATTTTATTTGAAATGTACGCTGAGTCTGTCGGAAAAGACCGTTGGGAAACTTGTTTGTTAGATGAGAAATATGAAATTCACTGTTGTGAGTCATTTGAAGTCAGAAACAAAAAGACAAAAAGAGTTTTAAGCGAATGTGAGCGAAATGACGGATATACTATGATGAGGATTGGTGGAAAACACTATCTTAAACATGTTGTCATTGCAACTCATTTTATACCGAATCCTAACAATTTACCTTTTGTAGACCATATAAACCATATAAGAAATGACAATAGACTTGAGAACTTACGTTGGGTTACTCGTTCTGAAAACAATAAGAACATAGGCAAATTTGGAGATATAGTATTCGAATTTGTCGACGAACTAGAAGATGAAGCAATTGAAATTACAGACTATGGTAAGCATACGCTTGAGTTTTACTACTATAGCGAAGAACAAGACTCTTTCTACTTTTATACCGGCGTAAACTATAGGAAATTACAAGTATATTTTACTAAGGCAGGCTATGCTTATGTAAGCACTAGAGATACAGATGGAAAACACGTTCAAATACTTCTTAACAAATTCAAGAAGCTATATGGCATACCATTTTAAAACGTTTTTAAAACAGTATATTTTTACATATATAAAATGCTTCAGGTTGAAAAACAAAGAACAAAAGTAGCAGATACAAAACCGTTAGACTATATCTTTACAAATGCTGGTAGGACTATATCAGATGAAGAAATTTCATCCGGAGCTTACAGGTTTGACTATCCAATTCGCTGGCTTCAAAGTCCTTCAGATGCAAAGGCAATAGGATTTAGAAGAGTTTTGTTTTCAAATAGAACTAACGCATTCATGTTTGCAGTATATTTTCACGGTCAGTATAAAGGTTCTGATGGTCTAATAGAAAAATTTGATGAAATGAAAATCTTTACAATTCGTTCAGACGAAAGTCTTGAAAAAACTCTAAATGACTTTCAAACTCAAATAAACAAATACTACTGGGAATTTCAAGAAAAATACCACTCTTTACTAAATGGAACATACTATCTAAAGCTAGAATACGACAAGATGAACTCCACCGTTTCATTTCAAAAGATTGAAATTAACCCTCCAAGAGATACAGAGTTTTTATATTGGGGGGTGGACAGACGTTCTTGGGCACAATTTCTTCGGTTACTAAACCAGAACGAACCATTGCCACCTGACGGTCCTTTTAAATTTATACTCCCACCAGCAGATTTGACAGTTTATAGAAACGTGTTCGACCCTCAAAATGTTATGTGTCATGCAAGTTTCAGTTCAAGCAACAACAGTTTTCTTTGTATCGGTAAGGACTTTTATGACTTTGCTTCTAAATTCTACGAACCACCTAGTAACAGTTTCTCTGACTTTCAAGTCTGGTTCACAACAAACGGTGTGCAGCATATAATACCTTTGTACTATGACTTTTATCTCGAATTGTCTTTCATATACAACTACGGAAAAGTGCTGAAAAAGTATTGAAAAATATATTTTAGATCTCACCAGGTCCCTCGGTCCCTCGGTCCCTCGGTCATTTTAACTTCTCTGAAAAAGTGTGACAACATGACATTTTGACAACAACACAGGAAATAGATTTCATCGTATTCTTTCACCCGTTGAATTTTGTATAAAAAAGCACCCGCCGGAATTCCGGCAGGTGGTATATTCTTCACGAAATGCTTGTTTTGAGGTCGAGCCACAAACGAATGTCCGACGGTTAAGCCACAAACGAATGTCCGACGGTTAAGCCACAAACGAATGTCCGACGGTTAAGCCACAAACGAATGTCCGACGGTTAAGCCACAAACGAATGTCCGACGTACCACCAAAAAATATTTTTTATTTTTATTGTAAGAACAGTATGACAGTCGAAGCAAAAACGTTCACGAACAAATCTAATGGCGAAACATTCACAAAAGGCACTTACAACGGTATTGAAGTCTTACGTAGAGACAAGGATGGTTATATAAATGCAACAAAGATATGTCAGCAGTTTAGGAAAGACTTTAGAAGGTTGTTGGAAAATAAGTCCTGGGAAGAGTATTTTAAGGCATTTTGTGAAGAATATACCAACCCGCGGAATTCCGCGGGTTGCTTTTTATACAATGCTAATGCAGAAATTCCGGATGAAATCAAACAGGTTAGAGGAATGTATGTAGACCCAAGACTTACAAACTATATAGCAATGTGGGCTTCTCCAAAATATTGCATAGCAGTTGGAAAAATTCTGGACTCCATAGACAAGAAAGTTCATGAGAAATTAGATGAAGAAGAACTTGAAGATACAGCAGAGAATGCAAAACCTTTGTTCGAAGAAGAAGTTAGAAAAATGCGCGAAAAACAAATAGAACATGAACGTGAGATATGTTCTGGTTATAGAGACTCTCCATACGAACTAAACCAATGGGAACAAGAAGATTTAAAGAGAGAATTTAGAGAATATGAACTCGCTAAAGTTTCATTAGAAGCTACAGAAGAGAGGTTAAAAGGTTGGGGTCCTTTTGTACAAAAATATTTTGAGTAAATGAACCATTTTATTTTTATTGAATTCGGCAAAAATATATTTTAGGTGGAACCAGGTCACCAGGTCACCAGGTCACCAGGTAATTTTAACTTCTCTGAAAAAGTGTGACAACATGACATTTTGACAACAACACAGGAAATAGACTTCATCGTCAATGTTTTTGTATAAAAAGCACCCCGCGGAATTCCGCGGGGTGGTATATTCTTCACGAAATGCTTGTTTTGTTGAGACTTTCACCCGTTGAATTTTGTATAAAAAGCACCCCGCGGAATTCCGCGGGTTGGTATATTCTTCACGAAATGCTTGTTTTGTCAAACATGAACGTCAATGTTTTGTATAAAAAGCAACCCGCGGAATTCCGGCAGGTGGTATATTCTTCACGAAATGCTTGTTTTGTCAAGACTTTCACCCGTTGAATTTTGTATAAAAAGCACCCCGCGGAATTCCGGCAGGTGGTATATTCTTCACGAAATGCTTGTTTTGTCAAACATGAACGTCAATGTTTTGTATAAAAAGCAACCCGCGGAATTCCGCGGGTTGGTATATTCTTCACAAAATGCTTGTTTTGAGGTCGAGCCACTTTTGGCTCCACCTGTTTTTTCAACCAAAACTCATTTTACTCAGCAAAAATATATTTTAGGTGAAGTGGTGAGATCTCACCTCTTTTTTCACCTGTTTTCTCACCTCTTGAATTTTCATGAATTTTCCCGAAATAAAATAAAAAGTTAGTTTTTTTAAAAAAATATTTTTTTATTTTTATTGTAAGAACATGTTAGCAACAACAGCACCAAACTCGTTAGTCATGAACCCAACATCTATGTTAGTAGAGATGAAAAGCTTCATTCCTTCTTCATATACTTTCGAAACAGAAATCCAGAAGATAAAGCAAGAACTTCTCCAAGGAGTTTTAGACTGTAGTGCAAAAGATGAAACAAATGAAGAATATCTTTATGAAATGCAGGATATTATTGACCATCTACCTAAACTTCCTGAAATACAACAACAAAAGCTCACTATTCCTGAATTCGATGAAATAGAAGTCAAAGCAACTGACTCAGTAGAAACCAAGAAGTTCATACGTAAGGTAAACTATGAGTTTCTTGGATTTCATTGCAACCACAAAGTTATGGACAAAGATTGCGATATGTTATATAAGAACATCTCTGACATATACAAATCTGAAGAATTTAAGACCTACGACAACTTTGTTTCGTTAGTTGCAAAATGTGTATGGCAGATAAGAGATAAAGATAAAAGAGGTAAAGTATGGAACGAACAGATAAAACCAGCAACTTTTGAGTTAAAGAAAATCATTGACGCCTTAGTTGTTTTAGCAGGTTTTATTTCAATGTACAATGCTAAAATGAACCCACAATGTTCAAAATGTAAAGCAGCAATGAGGAAATATAACTACTCTGTCAAAGAGATAGAACGTATGCGAAACGACTATGCAGATTTAAAGAAAGAAGCAGAGAAACCAGCAGAAGATAAAATGGACATGTTGACATTTCTGAACAAAAACTATCCAACAGCTGACGATTTCCTTCTATCTGATGTCAAGAAGAAATATAAAGAAACCTTCGGCATTGTTAAAACTTTTGACATACTGACAGAAGAAATAGAAGCTACAAAACTGTTTAGAATTTCAAATATACATCGTACAATTCATGTAAAACGCTTGTGAAAAAGAGGTGAGAAAGGAGGTGAGAAAACAGGTGAGATCTCACCTCTTCACCTAAAATATATTTTTGCTGAGTAAAATGACCAAATTTCATTATATAACTGTATTTTTTTGACGAAGAGAACTTTTACACTTCGTGACAAAAACATTGACGAAGAAGTCTATTTCCTGGACTGTTGTCAAAATGTCATGTTGTCACCATTTTCAAAAAGATGTTAGTTGACCGAGGGACCGAGGGACCGAGGGACCTGGTTCCACCTAAAATATATTTTTGCTGAGTAAATGACCAAATTTCATGAATTTCCTCATATGTTTGCTACCCCGACTTTTTTCGGCCTTGCATAAAACTCTATGAAATCATGAAAAAATGACCAAATTTCATGATATAACTGTATTTTTTTGACGAAGTGAACTTTTACTCTTCGTAAAAAAAATCCCTGAAATCATGAAAAAATGACCAAATTTCATGAATTTCCTCATATGTTTGCAACCCGAGGAAAACCGCGGGTCGAGATTCCGTACGAAAATCGTAAAAAAACTCTATGAAAATCGTGAAAAAATGCTACCCTCGAAAAACCGAGGATAGAGATTCCGTACGAAAATCGTGAAAAAATGCGACCCCGGTTTTTTTCGGGGTCGCCTAAAACTCATGAAAATCGTGAAAAAATGCGAGTACGTTAAAAACCGTAGTCGCCTAAAACTCATGAAAATCGTAAAAAAACACATGAAAATCGTAAAAAAATGCGAGCAGGGGAAAAACCCTGGTCGCCAAAACTCTATGAAAATCGTAAAAAAAATCCCTGAAATCATATCTTTTATACAAGATAGAAAAAATAAAATTAACGCTAGTTTTTTTAAAATATTTTTTTTTATTTTGTATGTAAGAACAGGAAATGACAAGCACTGAGTTTGAAACAGTTAAAAAGATAGACAATGAGACCAAGGTGGTTAGAATAGGTGATTTAAACGTAAGATACTCAAAGAAATACAAAAAATATTCTTTGTCAGACATTTTAACACCATCCGGAAAGAGAGCAAAGGACTGGGTTAGAAATGCTTCATCTCAGAAAATTTTGACAAGAAATCCTGAGCTTTTGATATCGGTAAGATTTCATGGAACTACAGCATATCTCATCGACAAAAGTCTTATACCAGTAGTTTTGTTCTGGATTGACCCAGTTGTTGGATATAATTTCATAACATATGGTTCATTCGATACTGAACGTTGCTGTGAAGGCTTACTTTACATCGTTCAGAAACCGAAGGACTTCAATACAAAGAGATATAAGATAGGAAGAACATTTAATATAACTAAAAGATATGACTCTACAGTCAATAGAGTTAAGGTTGTGTTTGTAAATGATATGAGAGCTGCTGAAACAGAACTGCTTGAAGTTTTTGAGAAAAGGTATGGTGCTCCCACGAAAGGTAAAGAAACGTTTGAAGTAGATGAGATAGATAGTGCTATAAAATTATTTGACGAAGTTGCTGAAAAATACATGTAAAGCGTTTATTTTTCAAGCTTGACACCAAAGATGGCTCAGGTAGCTCTAGATGGTAAATTGTCTTGTCCGAGTCCTTCTGGCATTCCGAGTCCTTCCTTCTGGCATTCCGAGTCCTTCCTTCCGACAGGAAAAGTTTTTCTTTCCGACAGGAAAAGTTTTTCTTTCCGACAGGAAAAGTCCTTCCTTCCAACAGGAAAAGTCCTTCCTTCCGACAGGAAAAGTTTTTCTTTCCGACAGGAAAAGTTTTTCTTTCCAACAGGAAAAATTTTTCTTGTTGTCCGTCCGTAAACCATTCAAATTTTCGAAAATTGAGAACTTTTTGGCCGACCTTCAGGAAAAATTTTTCTTTCCTTCAGGAAAAATTTTTCTTTCCTTCAGGAAAAATTTTTCTTTCCGACAGAAAAAGTTTTTCTTTCCGACAGGAAAAGTCCTTCCTTCCGACAGGAAAAGTTTTTCTTTCCGACAGGAAAAGTCCTTCCTTCCGACAGGAAAAGTCCTTCCATCCGACAGGACACAAACGAATGTCCGACGTACCACCAACCGAGTCCATTCCAAAGCCAGAAGAACCGACAGCCCCAGCACCACAACAGACTAAGACTCAAACACTTACATTTTTACGCTTGACTTTTTACAATTTGAACTTTGTTTGCGTAGATATGAATTCTGAAAGAAGTATGAGGGTCTTGTATGACTTTGTACTTCTCCCATAGTTCATGTCTGTCAAACTTACCTGCCATGGACTCTTTCATAAGTTCCATGAAATCGTCTTCGGACAATCCGGGGAAAAGTATGATATCAGTAAGTATTCTCTTTACATCCTTACTTAAACTCTTGGCTGTCTGTACACAAATGACAACTGAGATGTTAAAGTGTCTGAGCTTCTTGAGAATTCGACACATGTCTTGTTCTCTGTTCTTTAACAAAGGATGAGAAGCAAAGTCATCTAAGATAAGAAGACATCTGTGAGGGTAAGTCTTCCAATCGTAAGATTGCAATTTCTTCGAAAGGTACTCAATCTCTTTCTGTTTGTTTCGGAAGTGTTTCTTCTCTAATATTCTCTGCATTTCCTCATTTGGGTCTTTAAACTTCGAGTTTATATACTCATTTATAGCATTGTACTTCAAAACTCTTCTTTGGTACTTCTTTATCCAATCTAACAACTCAGAGTCTTTTATACATACTAACTTAGACTTTTTTATAATATCTTTGAACGAATTTACGGTTTGGTCAAATTGACCAGAAGTACTACAAATGACTACTAACTCATAGAATGGGTTCTTCTCATCTAGTTCTTGTTGTTGTGCAGCCATTTTAAGATAAGTGAAAGTCTTACCCGACCCAGGCGGTGCAATTAGACCTGTTATACCATTCTGAGCAAATAAGAACTTGTCATGTATGGGTTTTATCTGAGCATTTTCCAACTTCCTCTTGTTCTTATTTAAAACATTCTCAAATTTTTTGTCAATGTCAGCAAACTTTTTTTCTAACATATTTTTAGAAAAATTAAAATTTTTATCTTTTACAAAATGTCTAGCGATTTCGCTATCTATATTCGAGACAAGCTTTTCGACAGCAAAATCTGTCGACCATAAAATCTTACATAGTGTAAACAAGAAAGGTGAATTTGTTCTAAAGTTCTGTTTCTGGGAATATGACAAGAACCATAAAACCTTAAGCAGAGAAGTCTTAAAATTTGTCAATGACAGACTTGTTGACAGAGATGACGCCTCTTGGAGAGATGAAGTCCAACAAAACTTCTTAGAATGCAAAGAAGACACATGCGCTGTTCTTGAAAATGAAATAGAAAACAGAATAGAAGAGCTATTAAATGACAAAGCACTTTTACAAAAATATGGTTCTGAGAAGTTTGACATAACTCCACCAGAAAAGAAGAAGAGAGAAAAGAAGGAAGGGAGAGTAGAAGAAGAGAAGAAAGAACCAGAGCCAGAGAAAAAGAAATTTGACATGTAAAAATAAAATTTTATTTTTAGAACATTTCTGGGTCAATGTCAATGTTCTCTTCCTCTTTAGGAGTAAACACTGGCTTAGACTCTAAAATCTTTTTACCCAATTTACCTTGAACTTCAACTATCTTAGACTCATAATATTCATAGTCGTCTGCTTTCTTTGGTTCATAAGGTATAACAAGTTTGTATGCTTTGCCTTCTTTAAGGTTTGAAAACCTTCTGTCAAAACTTTCTTTGACTGTTAACAAACCTTCTATGTCTAAGTCTTCAAATTTCGCACCATTTTTAGTCACAATAGCAAACTTAACTGGTTCGATGTTCCAAACTTTGTCAAATGAAGACTTTTCAAAATGGTAGAAGTAAACATTCAAATATGTGAATGGGTCTAGTTCTTCTTTAAGTCCTGACATGTACTTGTTTACTGAGATGAATTTCGTCATCTTTTCTATCGGATAAAAAAAATATTTTTTTTTAAATTTACTCAGAAAAATTTTTCTTTGTATATACACCATTCTGTACGTCTAAAAGACTTTTGACATTTGCCAAGAATGTTCGTTTAGACGCTGGCAGATAACCATATTCTTGACAATACTGTTTATACGAATCGTACAATGACCTTTCATCTAAACACTCAAAGTCAGTTTCATCTATGAACAGTTCATATACACTCTTGTTTGCTTCTAACAATGTTTGTCTCTCTTCGGTATGTGGAATTTGTCTTGGATTGAACTTTGAAATATCTAATGTCATAAAATATGAGAACAAGTGGTTGTAAAAGTCAGATGTTAAAGTTTCTGCTAAGTCGCCAAAATATTCTGTATCTTGCATATGAGCTTCTGACGTTCTGACAACTACATATCTTCTGTCAGAACTTTCTAACTTCATCGGAACGGCGTTGTTTGAAACCATGATGAAATTTGCAACATTTTCACAAACTCTTTGGTCTTTATATTTTCTTTCAACAACTCCAACTTTGTCTGTTATAAGACTCTTCAAAGCATCTGAGTTCAAAACTTTTGTTGTATCTATACTTTGAAGTTCGTTACATACTATAAGTTTCATATTCTCTATTGAAGAGTTAAATTTACCGCAGATGTTTTCTAAGTTTGTCATATTAGGGTTCGAATAGCCCTCTAACAGTTTGCACAAAATATCTGTAAAGAAAGTGTTCTTACCAGTTCCTTGTTTTCCAATTACAATGAGAGCAGTTTCATTTTTAGCACTTGGATGTTGTAAGATGTTTGCAAACCAACATAAGATATACTCATAGACTCTTTCGTTTCCATTGCATATAATTTCTTTGACATGGTCTAACCAAGCTTCTATAACATTTTCTTTCCATTCTACTTGTTCGTATTTATATCCAGTGAAGATAGAATAGAAGTTTGGAGATGGTGTATAGAACTTTATACCACGAACTGAAAAATCTTCTAACTTTGACAATAAGATATCCCAAGCATCTAACATCTTCATACCAACTTGTACGACTTTTATTTTCTTAAGTTTCTGTTTACATTCTTGTTCTGAAACT